CCTTTTATTCCTTATAGAAATTTTGGGCATACATTTCCTCGTTCTCCTGATGTTATAAATCAAGATGACCGCAGCAAGCAATCAAGAACCCCTCGTAAGATCTTTATTCTGAATTCTTTATTTATCGATTAAAGTATCTCTAAATGTGGCTAAACTCTTGACTGGCTTTCAATCATATTTAGGCGTACTTTCATTGATAAAAGAGAATCTAAAATGAGAACTTGAGTGACAACGAAGACGATTTTCGAAATATCATACATTGTCTAGTCGCTTTTTTCCGAATAAATTTCATATAAAATATTTCCGATGAAGTGATTCGAGGAAATTATTCCTTTGTAAGGTTGCACTCCAAAACATCTTTTTCGAGGAAAATTTTACTCTTAAATTTATAGTTCGCGTTACATACACTATAAACTTAAGAGTTATATAAAATTGTCCTCGGAAAGGACGTTTTGGAATGCAACCTAGGTAGGTAAAGTTACATAAGTAGAGCGCTGACGATAAAAGCGCTGACGTGTCATACATCTTCCAATCGTCGAGAGCTGTAAGATGGTCGCACAGTTTCAATATCTTTGTTGACTGATTTTATTAATAAACGTATTGATATATTATTTGTTTGGATGGACTTATCGAATCATCGTCCTCTAATTATACATATTATTTTACTCACCTATAAATTTGCTAAGAGACAAAGAAAATAAATGTTTACATTTATCATATTTTACAAATACGCCAGTTGTCTTATCTAGAAATTGTGTGTGCCTTTCGTTGCAAAATTATCTTATTGGAAAAATAATTTTCATCTCTTACATTACGTTCTGAACAAATGTAACGTAAACAGAAAAGCTATACAAATTACTACGTAACTACGAAGTCGTACGTTAGGAAATTTGGGAAATAAACTAATTGTCGTTGAACACATTTACTATTAGTGTGAAACATGTATGATAAAGTGATCTTTTATGAGGAATCAATATCACGTACGCACTGAAAAAAAATACTTGAAAATTTATTTGTGGCATATATAAAGTTTATCTGGGAAGTAAAACTTATTTCTGCAAATTTTGTATCCTACAAATTTTCAAGTATTTTTTTCCCAATATGTGCAACGGTAATGATTTATTTTTTAGAACCTATTTTACACATTACATTACAAAAAAAAGGTAAAAAAAACTACTAGCTGATCTGTGGGGTCACTTACCCAAATAAACCATGATAACGAGTGTGTTAAATTACTATGAACGTGTCTATGAACTATCGTACTGTAAAAATACTCAGTGCCTGTTTAACGACGTACCTCGTATTAAATACTTACAGAAGTACAAGTTTACTAAAAAGAATAAGCTTAATCCAAACGTGTATTGCTACAAAATTGAGTCTATTTAATTATTTAGGGAGAATTTAATTATTTAAGGAACACCAATGACACATTACAAATTGCACATTTGAAGATGTACCTTCTCCTCTTCACAGAGGAAAGTGTTGACTATACATACATCTACCTTTCTTGACCGTAAGGATTAAACATATGGTGCAGTTCATATCAGAGTTTCTACGCAGATGCTCTTCACAGAAAGACGAAGTTTCCGCATTTTTTAACCGCGCCGTCCGAATATGCTTCCGATTTACGGTCATAAATAAAAAGGAAATGGAAGAAGTGGAAAAGGAAAAATGGGATGATTTGCTTAAAGTGAGTCTTGATTAGTCTTATCTTTTACGGTCGAAGTAGACCGTGATGATGAAATCCTGCTCAATTTTCTGCGTGGTAGAGCATATACTTTGCCAGACGGACCTTGCACGCTATTATCGTTCTGTAAAATAGAAGAAAATAGTTTCATATGATCGCAGTATCATAGTAAGGTACAACAAGGTGATACGATTATTTGCAAGAGCAAAAGTTTTACGAAAGTTTCGAAGCGTCCAGAGCGACAATAGTGTAAGTCAAGATTATGAATATCATGGATAAATACAATCAGTGCGTAAACTATTGAACATTGATCCGTGACAACGCGAGTTTTACGTATATGTTAGATCAGTGAACACCACATTGACACACATTCTTTCGTGATTGTTGCATTACATTACTGTTTGCACTATCAACCACTTGTGTAATGGACAATTTATCGACGATAACCAACAAAACAAACATAGTTTACAATTGTTTTGCACACTTTTAGGACTTTTAGGATTATTCATAATCGGATCTTATATTTATAAGATCGTCTTAAGTTTATCTCCAGATACTTCGTAGCCAATGAAACGATCAGAATAGTATCCGAAGATGAACTCAAGACGACATCAAGGAGTTTATTCATCTAAATCAAAATGCTTAAAATTATGCAAAAATGCAAAAACCTTTTATGCAATTTGTCTGCATTGTTTGTGAAAAATTTATAAATATGTTTAAAAAATGCTGAATATCGCAATTTTGCAAATATAATCTTCTGATCGAAGTAATATAGATGACCATTATTCCAGTGTAACTTGGCGCCCAATAGAAATATATATCTGGTGAATAAACTTCTTAAATATAAGATTCGGCTATAAATATCGGCTTTAGTTACGATTAGCTTTCGAAGTAGCTCATTGCTACTTGCTTTACTTTAGTACACTTCAAACGAAAGAATATCGTGACTATGATTTGTGTATTTTTTTTTTGTTACGGCTAATATTTAATTTCTAAATGACAAACAAGTAATCGCCAGGAAGAAAACAAATGCAAATGATAAAACTCGTGATTTCATAAACTTGCTTTTCGTTTTATCAGCGCGTCGTTTTATTTGATAATGTTAGCGTTTAATTTAATGTGTATCAATTAGATAAAAACGAGAATGCTTAACAGCGTGGAACCAAATAAACACGATTTACGCGATTGCGTGCGTGTGTTCTTACTCGGTACTCTCGAACTATTTCAAATTTCTGCCTCAACTTGGCTGGGACTTACACCAATCCACTCTAGGCCTTCCGTACGTCCGACGTCGCATTAAACACGAGTCTGGGCATCACCTGCACTTGCGAGTTCGCGTTCATGCTGGAACTGGATTTGACGATGGTTGTGAGTTGCTGTGAACACGTATGCATATGCGTTGACCAATGCAATTGTTGACAAGGATAGTCGCAGTACGCGGTGTTCCAGCAACAATAGAACAATGCCTCCTGCCCACACTTGGCGCACCATTGTTTTCGCTTCGTCTCCTCGATACACCGAATCTTGTCTTCCTCGACCTCCCGGCGCGCCTCTTGAATCGATCTTAGCTTCTCCGCCTCCAAACTCGCTCGCATCTCGCGCATCGTACGATCTGAAATTGACATCCTCTCTAAATTCCTACATTACTAATCTGGGAGCTAGTAATATCTGTTTCTATTCCCTCTTTCCCTATGAATATATTTCAATAAATATATTTCACACTCGTCGTTTATATACTTATTTCTTATTGTAGCAAATATAACAGCTATGTGAAAATAAATTCAAGATAAGTTCTAACAAAATGAAGAAGCGAATTTTCGGATGTGTTTAAAGAGAAAAAGAAAGGCTGTTCTCATCTCTTTCGACAATAAAAACGCTCAAAGGGACTCGAAAAGAATACTCCTACGAAACTACAGAACAAACTCGTACCAGCGTTGTGTTGCAGTTCAGCCATTTGTTGCTGATGCTGCCACTTCATATGCTCGATCTGCATACGCAGGAAGAATACAGTAGCCTGATAATTATCGGCGGTACTGTTTTCGCCATTATCGACAGTTTCAGCTTCAGCCGCCTCTTTATACGCTTCTTCCATCAACTGACCAATCCTACGCGCTAACTCTTGCGTGTTGTGATGCAGACGTGCGCTGATCGGTCCGGCTTCCGGCGGCAGCATCTGATAAGTTTTGGAGGATGTGCAGGAGGATTCGCTAAAGGATGCATTGGAGAAAGTATTGGACTTTGAGATGGAAACTTGAACTGGAAATTCAGCCGTGGTCGTCGTTAATGTGCGTGAATTGATTTGTGCATCATCACTCGATTTATTCGGGAAACTTTTCTTGGCCTTGCTCTCTTTTTTTTGCGGCGGACTGTCGTGCGTGTCCTTCGCTTCTCGTTGGACCGCCACTAACGTATCCTTGTTCTCCAGATAATCCGTTGCAGCCTTCTGCTTCGCAGCTTCCGGCGCTGTGTCCTTGTTCACGACAAGAAGCAATACAGACTTTGGATCTTTGGAGGGTACGAAAGATACAGAAGATTGAGGATCTGTCGACTGTATGATGGGACGAGGCTCAATTCTAGGGAGATTTTTAATAATCGATGCCGCAGACTGCGACAACGTTACATCAATTTCCGAGATCTTCTTGCTGCTCGCTGAGTTCTTTGCCTTGCTGCCCAACGACAACCTTTTGGTAGCTGGTCCACTTGCATTTGGCATAGTTAGTCGGTTATTTTCCTTGCTTACGGAGATGGACTTGAGCGCTTTCTCCGCATTCAGTTTGTCGACCATTTGCTTCTTCGGCTTATACGATTTGGCCGTATCGCTTTTGGCGTTTTTTTGCGTTGACTTTGGCGTATTCGGAGAGGCTTCCCATTTAGCGGCGTTTTTTGGGACGCTTTTCTTCCGCACTCGCATCATATTAAGCGACTTGCGAGGCGATATGGATGGCTGCTCCGTTACCGGCTTTTTTTCGTTTTTCTCTTCCTGCGAATTACTTTTGTCCGCTGTAGTCTTATCAGGGCTAAGTGCATTGTCGTTCTCATTGCTTTTCACTACTGGCGTCTTAGTTCTCTTCGCTCCGCTCTCTGCAATTTTGTTTTGAGCAACTTTTCCGATCTCTTGGTTTACTTTCTCATTTAACTCACTGTGATTATCGTTTAAATTACTCTGCGAGTTCGGTGTAACCTTAGCGTCAAAATCTAATTTTTGTACTTTTCGCTCTCTAACGTCGTTCTCCTTTTCCTGATTATCACCGTTAATATTTTCTTTCGAAGCGTTTGGTTCCCCGTTATCGTCGTTAACTGATTCGTCATGTTGCAATTTGTCCTTGTGCAGACTTCGTTTTCTCGGTGGAATTTTCTTCTTCGACTCAGGAGATACGGAGTTTATCAAACGATTTTCAGGATCTGTAGGATTGTAATTCGGCAACAGTAGCGTTATTTGCATCGGATCGTTTGGATTGTACTGCACCTTGGGCGGTGCAAACTTGAACTGGCCGAATATGAGCTCGAGCTTTCGACAGTGACGTGTAATCTCGCGCACACATTCGTCCATTTCTGATTTTCTTTTGCGTGATGACGGTGTTGGTGGTTCCTCGGAATACAAATAGATATCCTTCGGAGCTACCCAGGCACGAGCATGTTCCCCAAAGAAGCGCACATCAACGAAACCTTGCGAGTTTACACGCGGCATTGCTTTTGCCGGCCAAAATGGAAATCCTTTCAACTTAGCCCAAACGAGTGGATGTGGTCGACGACAAGGCTCGATGAACCAGGTTGGTTGGGTTCGGGGCAAATTTCGGCTGTGCGCATAGCAATCGGGACACGCTTCAATTTCCGAAATATCAGAACGTGCACATTTGATAATCTGCTTCGCGGTGTTTGTTAATTTTGAAACATCCGCATAAACTCCGCCGCCTGGAAATATTAGCAGATATTAGAATGTAATGCAATTTTTATTTATACAGAATTTACACTAAGTCAAACTTTTCAACGCAAGAAGCAAATATTTCTTATCCTGAACCTATTTTATTTATCTCAGCATCCTAAACATATATCTATACAGAAAAAATTAACCAGTTGCCCATTAGATAATATCAAACCCATATCACTCACAGATTAGTCTCTATCGCAACATATTTTCTACGAATACACTTTATACAACATATGCTATAATCAATTTGAAGATGAGAAAACGAGTCATACATGATTAACCTGATAGATCATCAATAAAAATATACAGCGAAGTCACGTACACGTATTAAAAACGATGCAATTGTGTTGAATCCACTTGGCATCGGCCATAAACGCATCCGTGCTGCCGTAGAGCTTAGACCGCACATTGGACTCCAAGAGGCTCAAGTCCATCGGCTTGATGACGTAATTCAAATAATTCGGCACTTCCACAAGATTCACGGGCTTGCAGAACGGTTCGGACTACGATAGAATGTAACGTAATATACACGAAATAAATATACTATATGATACTCTATGTAACACAAGCATTTAAAGTAACGTAATGCAAGAGACAGACACTTACACCTGGATATTCGCGCAACCTCTCGACCACATTCTTAAGTAAGACGCACAGCTGCTCGACAGACAACTGCGCCATGGCAGATGAACGTGTCTCGGCGTTTTCTGCCGTCAAGATGGTCACACACTCTCCGCATATCCATTTCTGCGAGGATGGCGGCATGCCGCCTATGCATTTACGATGCCATGAACGAGGACAGGCGGTGCAATAAACATCTACTGTCTCTTTATGACATCGCCAGCAGAATTTGTCGTTTGTATTCTTGGTTGTATTCTTTTTTCTCTTGCTTCTCGTGCCGCTCTCTTCCACGGGAGAATCTATCGGCGACATGCTGGAACTGTTAATACGCTCTTTATACAATGCTGCATGCATATTTATAGTGAATGTGTGACCCAGACAACCGAAACTGTAGACGCAAATTTTACGCAGTATCTGCTGCTGTAAATTTTGTTGGCAGCAGATATAAAACAAGATCTGCTAGCAGGATATAGGTAGATTGACGGTAAAAATTGAGTAGGATCTGTCTTTCCGTTACAATTTAAATATCTCAATGGAATATACTTGCGGGTCTTGCTCAATTTCTATCGCCAATCTACTGTCAAGTCATGTCAGCAAGTTCTATCGTTAGAATACAAAGTTTAATGTAGACACGAATTTCTATGGATCAATTACAATAATGGACTACAATATTGGCCACATTCAACAACCTTAACCTTAATTTTGGCTGAATTTAAGAGCATATACCAGTCAGAATCACGAATTTGACAACTGTTGCAAAGCAACTTTCGTTACCGAACGCAGTTATTCTAATACCAATATATGCTGCCGATATGCTGCCAATCTGACAGCATATTGTTAATATTTTGCTTATTAGAGATATATTATACTTGCCTTTGGCTCTTCCGTTTTCGTTTTAAAGGACCTCCATCTTTCACCAAGTCTTTGTCCTCATTATTAAGATCCTTCGTATTTACATCCTGGGGATGTGGTGACATGGCTATGTTTTCCGTCTCTTGCTGTTTTATTTCCTCTTTTACATCTTGTTCCTGATTTTCTTTCTTATCATCCTGTTCATTCTTATCAGTTACTAGTGACCTTAAATTATGCTTGTTTTTATCTTCTATATTAACAGTATCTTTCTTCTCTTCTGTTGTATTGTTCTGTTCTAAAATTGGATCTTTCTTGTCTTCCACTTTAACAGCTTCCACGTTATTCAGCTCATTGTCCTCATTGATCGATGGAGTAATTGGTGATTTGGTCTGATCTATTTTCAACTCAGATACATCTGTCACTGACTCAGATATATCTGTTACTGAGGACTTCATGGAATCTTCAGCTGGTTCATTGGACGCCATTTTATTTGTTACCTTTAGCACAAAGTATCTGTTTCAGTCTACATACATCTAACATGATTAATATTTCAAAATGATGAATAATGGTGGACAAACATTGAAAGAGAAAAATATTGGCATAGATGCATGTGTCTAATCCAAATTCATACATATTACTTATTTATGCAATCGTATATATCAATAGTGTATATCTTGTATAACAGCCAAAGTAATGAACTACTTAAACATGTTATATACAGGCAATATATTTATATTATTAATATTTACATACAGAAGATAAGCAATGACAGCATTATCTCTTAAATTTCCTGCCTATAAAATTTTCCAGAATAATACTTGCTATAATAGTTAATATTATATATATATATATATATATATATATATATATATATATATATATATATATATATCTAGAATATATATACACACATAGAATGGATTGAGATAGACACAAAGTTCTATATCATTTTGCGATACGGTAGATGAGTAGTGACAATATGTGCTATTGTGTACTTGTACATTAGATCAAATTAAAGAAAAAAGCCCTTTATCATTTTGCAAATAACTACATGGACTTATAGTTATTAATGAAAGAAAATTGTTATATGATTATGGTCAATAATGCACAAATCTTCTTTAATTAACATTTAAAAACCTACGTGGTCATTTGCAAAATAGTAAGGGACTTTTTTGTTCAGTTTGACCAGTTGTTCCAATTTCTTGATAATTTAACTAATAGTTAAATCTCTCTTTGTTTAAATTGAAGGAAAAGCAAAGATAAACATGTGATTTAACTATCAGTTAACTTACCAAGAAGTTGGAACAATTAGTCCCTAATGTATAAGTATACAATAGCAAACAGCGCTGCTACAGCTCATCTGCTATATCGCGCATGATTGTTCAATCTTCTTTAATTAATATCTCGAGATTTATTACGAGTATCGCAAAACAGTATGGAATTTTCATGTTCACCTCAATTTGTTCTAGATTCCTATAAAAATTGCGGAGGAGAGTCTGGGACACCCTGTCTATATATATGTGTGTGTATGTATATATATAATATTTCATTAAGAAGACTATATTATATATCCAGAAAGGTCTGCGACACGCCGTTGCAGAACATTATTAACATTCCCACAGTGGTTATCGCTCTCCTAGAATCGCCGCTACTTGTGCAAGCATACAGGTATACGCGAGCTATCGATGGTGACGAGCATAAACAGCAGCAACAGCAGCATTACCTTGTGAAGAAATCCACGTATGATGCACTTGTGTGCCTTATTAGACAGAGCGGAACGACGCCTCAGAACATTCTTGATCCGCGACCGCGTGTCCTCTGTAGTTCTAACAGATCACCAATGTTAATAAATACTAAACGACAGAACTGACGCGCGGATAACGAAATGGTATCACCTACTCGCACGACTTCACGTCTAAAAGCCTCGCTCCTCCTCTTCGTACGATGCTAGCCTTGCCCGCCACCGGTGGCGCCATCTCTCCGCGATATCCCTCACGACGTAGTGATCACGTAATGCTCTGCTTCGCTGGTTTCTTGACTGCTGATAAAAAGAAAATAGGAGAAAGTCTTGATTGTAAACATTGCAATTCAACGATATCTGTATAACGATTGTAATTTGCAAACATCAATTCGCAAATTCATTATAATCGACTCTTCCTCTCTTCAGCCGCGCTTCCTTTCAACGCTTTCTCTTCTTTCCCTCCTAATACATCAATTTTTTTCCCATGTATAGAGAAAGTTCCACGTGGCGTGGCTGAAGAGAGAACGGATCTATCGCTTACTATTTCTAGAAATAACGTCGCTTCGCGCCTATTCTGGTCAGCGTAGGAGAAACTTCTGCGACGACACGTTCTACGGTAGGCGTGACAAGAGATGAGGTTAGACCCACTTCCGTTGTTCGCTGCACACTTCTCTGTTTCGTTCCTTCCTGTGGAAAGTGATAACGATCTGGTTGTCGCAAGGTCTTTCATCCTTGGAGACGTCGTGCGACACGCGAAGACTCGTTCCGACTGCCAAAATCCGTTCCGGTTACCCTTCGCGAGGCTCTTGCTGTGTTCTATTTGGTCGTAGCGACTTATATTTATCTGCGTGTAAATTGTGTAAACTAGTTCTCTGCTATCGATACCGTAATGTCGAACGACGTAATGTGACAGGCCGCTTCCTTATGAGTTAACATAACAAATCGACAGTTTGTTATCACACATTTCGCCTCTGTTTGATAGGTTATGTGATCCCGATCACGTGGTGCATGAACCATAACCGCCCTCTCTCTTTCCACCCCCGCACCGTCTCGTCACAGTGCTGTTACGAAGGATATCGCAACAGAGATGGTGTGGACGAACGGCGAATTATGGATCGTATAGATAGTAAACACTCGTACAACAGCTGTAACTTTATCTAGTCCGATCGAGATTAGTGAGAAATATCGCGGATGAGACTGTCGCGCGATCAAGATTACTCAACAAAGAATAGTTGATATCGCGGAGGGATCTTCTAATAGGCATTTCTAAGACGAAAATATGCCTCGGGTACCACGTCATGACAGTGCTCGCTTAGGTTATGTTGTGCTGTCAAAGTGTTCGTAAAGTTTCGCGAAAAATCTCTCGTGTTTTACGTATCCACATATCTGTGCACACTCCTAACTGCTCTAAGGAGCAATCGAACCTGCGATGGGCGATCATATCGGCGATAACATATTAATTCCGCAGGTCGATAATGTAGTGTTAATTGACAAAAGCGATGGCAGCAACAAGAGCCTGGATGGGACACTGTGCATCAGTGGCCACCATCTCATTTTGTCTTCTAGACAAAACGATGGTCAGGAACTCTGGGTAAGCACGTTCGTGCGCGTTCCGACATGTGCACTGAACGACATTGCGTTGATTGGCAATTTTATCTTTCTTTGAATTTGGCCTTTCTTCGGCAGCTGATGAACCGGAACATTGATGTTGTGGAGAAGAGGTTGAATACTCAGAGCACTGGTGGTAGCATAATACTGAAGTGTAAAGACTTTCAGGTCCTTCAGTTTGACATTAATTCCACCAATGACTTAACTAATGCTGTATTATCCATCGAAAAGCTGATATCGCTTGGTAAATTGATGGTTATTTTAATATGATTTGACAATGCATGAATAATTTTTGCTTCTCCTGGTCCCTCGCCGCGCAATTCTTGATTGATGACGTCTGAAGTGAGGATATGTATGTCCAACATTCCTGCAAAGTATGTCAAAATAAAAAGATATACTCAAAAAAAATGACACTTGAAATTGATTAAGTAGACCATTAAAATACTTTTAACGCATTTCTCTCGCTCTAACAATCGATAAATAATCGTAAAATAAACGTGACATACGACTTTCTAACCTACCTATATTTACTCATTATTTCGTCACGTTAATTTTATGGTTATTTATTGATTGTTAGAGCAAAAGGAAGGAGTATTTTTGAGGTGTGCTTAATCGTTCGCAAATGTCATTTTTTATATATCTTTTTATTTCGACGTACTTTACAGGAATATTAGGCATGGATTTCCTCGCTTTTCTGACGTCATAAATCAAGATCTCGCCGCGGCGAGGCCAGAGGTTATATTCTTGACGTCTATTCGGACGCTAAGTAGGCCTTTTTTTTTTACTTTAACTTCTATTTTTCTTATACAAGCGTTCTGTATAATGTTGTTTAGCTTAAGAATCAAAAAGGTTTACTTAGCATAGGAATACTTAGCATTCGAATACTCGTCAAGAATACAATCCCTGATCTCTCGCCGCGGCCATCTTGATTTATGAAGAAGGCCAGGGCCCGTATTCTTGAAATTTTTGCGTATATACACGTAAGTTTCATTGCGCAGCTATTTTACGATGTAATTATATCTGCACAAAGAAACTTACGTATACGCAAAACTTTTAAGAATATAGGCCTAGAAGTGAAGAAATGCATGCCCAAAATTTCCGCAAAGTCTGCAAAGTAAGAGACTTAACTTCGATTCATTCTTAAGTGACTAATAATATAATAACAAGTATAATAATAAATAATACAAAAATAATAAATTCTGCTTCCTCTCTCTCTCTCTTTCTCTCTCTTTTCCTTACAGATCAGACTCTACAATACCCGTTCTTCTTTCGACCACAGGCCACCAACAACACCATGGTGCAAATAGAGGATGGGTGGACGGCGTTCGCGCCTGTCTCCGAGTGGTCTATATTATTGGCGACACATGCAGACGAATGGCGTATCAGTTACTTAAACAGAGATTACAAAGTTTGCAACTCGTATCCGTCGGCGCTTATAGTGCCGCGTCAGATAGACGACAAAGTTATAATAGCTTCCGCTATCTTCAGAGACGGTGGCAGGTTCCCCGTTTTATGCTACAGATACGAGGGCGGGGTATGTAGTGAGTGGCACGGTCGTAACTAACGATTGACGAGTTTTGTTTGAATTCTCCCATTGGACACATACAGAACTGAATACATTTTGAAACTCACACAAAACCTACTCGTCAATCTTTTCGTCCACAACTACACACACACACACACACACACACACACACATTACGAGAATTATTGATGTAACATTTATTATTGGAGTCCTCGCAATCAATTACAGAGCATACTGTTGAGGAGCAGCCAGCCATTGTGTGGTGCTACTGGTAAAAGGTGCAAAGAAGACGAGAGACTGTTGAATGCGGTTCTAGGACCCGGAAGACGTGGGTATGTGTGTGATACATATTTCGTGTTTATCAGTTGCGACAGTTGTTAGATCTATTCTTTTTAGCTGAATTAGATTACATTCTTTGTCTTTATAGTGAAACTAGTATATAATCTAGCTTTGAAGGGAAAAGGAACCAAGTTCCAATGCGGCAGCAGTTCAGTTGACAAGAACAAGCCTGTTGCATCCTATTCACAGGTACATAGTGGACACCAGATCGGTTAATCAGACGATAAGTGCCAAGGCCCGGGGCGGAGGCACGGAGATGGACACGGCTTACCCGCAGTGGCGTAAAGTACACAAGTCGATTCCACGGCCGCACGATTTGGCAGACAGTTTCTTCAAGTTGATAGAGGCTTGCAGCGACATAAGTAGCTCCACTTCGCAATGGCTGTCGAGACTGGACAACAGCGGCTGGCTGTCCGCTGTGCAAAGCGCTCTAGATGCCGCCTGCGTTACCGCACAATGCTTGCATCAAGAAGTCGCGGCTGTGTTAGTGCACGGTACGTATACATCAAGACTGCGTTCGCGCTTCGGACGCTTTCATCCTAAAAGCGCCCAAAGCGAACGCAGTCCAAGTATTTCAATCAATTTAAATTGTTCGAGGAGTTATACGAGATGAGATAGGAAATTCGCACGTTACTAATGAGAATCTACGCGAAAGTATTCGACTCGAGTGTATGTGATCTTCTTCGCGCAATTACATCGTAACGGTATCGAGGATAATTCTGAATTGCAGGCGGTGCAGGCAGGGATTCTACATTAGTGGTAACCAGTTTGGCCCAAGCGATATTGAATCCCGATTGCCGGACGGTACGGGGGCTTCAGGCGCTCATAGAACGCGAGTGGCTTCAAGCGGGTCATCAGTTTTTCAGTCGGACTCGTTCCGGGGCGTATCAGCCGTCGCACTCGCAGAATCCGACGCACGCTCCGACTTTCCTTCTCTTCCTGGACTGTCTGTATCAGCTACATCACCAATTTCAATTTAGCTTCGAGTACACGGTGAATCTGCTCATCGAATTGTACAAGCACGCCTATTCCTCGAACTACGGTACATTCTTAGGTATGTAAAATATTGTAAATCCTGGGAGACGTATATCATCAAGCAAGTTGCTGCTATACCTGTGTCGTCTATTTATTGTTGCGTGTGTTTCTTCAGGCGATTCGGAAGCAGAGAGAATCAAATTACGGTTGTCTGAACGAACGTACAGTTTGTGGTCGTATATGAACCAGCCAGACATCCTGGAGCAATGGATAAACCCCTTGTACGAGCCAAATCCAGGAGTGATTTGGCCGAGCGTCGCACCCGTCAGTATACAGCTGTGGCGAGAACTCTACCTCGTGCATACAAGCGCCGCTCCGTGGAACGGCTTGCTCGTCTATGCTAAGCAGATCAAGCAAAATCACACGGCGGTACGCAAAGTGGCCGGACAGCTGCAGGCTCAAATTAAACAAGCCTTGGAAGAAATTCGATCGAATCCGGACATGTCGCAGGATGCGGACGCTCAAGAAGAGGAGGAACATGAAGAAGAAGGTGGCTATCCGTGTATAGCGCAATTGAGTCTGGGCTCGCAGAGCACTTGATACAGATTTTAGCAACTGAAGGAGAACTATTGAATTTGATCTCGTCGATGCGTCTTCGATCACGATACCAAGCGTGCGCTTGTGAAGATCGGTGGTTTTCGCGAACCTCATTTTTATCTGCCATGAAGCACGCGCGTTAGATTCCTAATGTAATAATCTTGATATCTCTGTGATTAAGGCTTCTGATTCCTTGCCGCGACCGACTTATGCTGTCTCTTATCTTGTTTTATGTTGTCCGAAATAAGGAAATACGTTAAGAATTTTTGCACATAATTTTTGCAAATATGTTAAAATAGAATAATATATTTACAAAATGATGCAACCGATCGAACAGACCTTAAAATAATCCGAATGTTTTCTTTTTACGCTTCAACAATCAATAAAAGGTAAATCAATAAATCGTAAAATTAACGCGACATAATCATGAGAAAAAATAGATTAAAAAGGAAGGTTAGATATCATTTATTTCACGATTATTTATTGATTGTTCCGATAAAAGGAAAGTGTTCGGACTATTTTACAAATCCGCTCAATCGGAATTGCGTCATTTTATATATATGTGTGTGGATACATTTTTTATTCCAACATTTTGCAAGAATTTTGCAAGAATTTAGTGTGTATTTTTTCGCAACTGACGTCATCAATCACGGGTTCCGCGGCGAGGAACCAAAAGCCTTAAGGTCCGCTTGTACCAACAGAGTTGTGAGCTAATAGTTAAGTCGTACGTCTGTTTTGTTTATTTTGAAAGGAAGATAAAGACCCAGACAGCACAAGGTCTCCTGAGGACGAAGAAATGTCCTCAGGACTTCCTCAGGATGTCCTCTGGATATCCCCTGGACATCCGTGCTATTAGGGGATGGACATATAATTTAACTATTAGCTTACCACTCTGCTGGTGTAATCGAGCCTAAAACTTCTATAGTCACGGAGCAGATTATTTGTATTGATATATATTTGAATACTTTATATGTATGTGTGTGTGCGTGTGTGGGAAGGGAAATATCTTTGTCAAATTCGTCTTGCACGGTTTCATGTTGAAAGCATCGTTTTATCTTCTTTCGATATATAATGAACAATAAAGATAGAGTAATGCTTTCAGTACGAAAGTGTGCAAGATGAACTCAGTTTTTGTTTAGTCAGTCCAACTATATACATCACATGAACTCCCTTCGTCTAAATAGTAAAACATCAAGATGTTAAACGATTCAAACGATTCAGATGAGATATGAATTGTGATATTTTTTATTTCACAGTTGGTACATGACTTGTACATTCAACGTAGTCAGCACAGGCGTATATATATATATATATATATATATATATATATATATATATATATATATATATATATATATAT